GTCCTCAAGCTGACATCTCTGCTCTTCAATACTTTAAAAAGTTCCTGTGCAGCAGATTTGCCCAGTGCAATACGTCGTCTGATCTCTTGACTGCTACTTCCGCGAGTGTTGATAGTTGATCCAAGAAGAATGAAGTCCTTGACAACTTCAATCCTTTCTCCATTGTAACCATTGTAACCATCTAATAATTAATCATCATTATAAGACAAGATTAATTTCACTGTTCTCAAATAGTGAAACCATATAGGATTGCTGTTAATGCTAAAAACAGAGGCAAAACCACATATCTGTACAGTGCAAAAACACAGAAGGATGGAGGATGGTGTCACAGAGAATAAGTCTTGGTGTGGTAGGATCACCACAAGATCAGAAGTTCAAACCTACCAGCTGCTCCTTGGGAACCTATACATGGTTGCTATGAGTCAGAACTGACTCAAAGGCATTTAATAACAATAATAAGTTGGGGTCTGGGAAGTCCTGGTATGGTACTGTAGGATAAGCACTGGACTACTAACCACAAGATCAGTTGTTCAAAGTCATCAGCCACTTCTCAGAAATTCTATACAAGGTCACTATGAGTCGGAACCTACTCAAAGGTGCTTAACAACAGCAACAACAGTTGAGGTCTTGCCTAAAAAGCAATTCCAGACCATTTGTTTCCAATCTATCTATCTTGGGTAATGATACAAAAACAACTATCACTCACATGTCTGCAGACTGCAGTCAGCAGAGCTAAACTGTGTGCCTTAAGCTGCAGTGGCTGAGCAGTTTGCTCCTCACTGAGGTCTGGGGTAGGTTGGGGTCAGCTGAGAGACCAGGCTGAAAGTAGAGCCGTAACTCGGCAGAAACCCTCTTCAAGGCACTGGCAGAAGTCAAGGAACTAAAGAAAGCATTTGAGACTTCTTTTTTTTATATCAGTTATTTGGTGTAGTTGAGAATATCTATTAGCAGAATATACAAGGAGCTTCAAAAAGTATGTGAAAAAAATCTCATTATCTTTTTAATTCCATATTCCATGATTTTTGAAGTCCCTCCCCTATACCAATTCTACAATGGCTACATATACAATTCAGTGACATTGATGAACAGTCATCCAGTAACCATTTCCACCCTCTTTTTCTGAATTGTTCCTCCCACATTAACATAAATTTACTGCCCCACTATATTTCCTACCTAATTTTACTTATTGATCTGGTCAATTTAATCCCGTATGGTCAGTTCTCAAAAAGGCATAATGCTCAAAGCAGACATTTTTTACTAGTTTAGCTAAATGATTATTTTGTTTTAAGAAGACTTCAGTGGATAGTCTTGGTATCAGTTTGAAAAGTTATTTTAGGGCAATAGTTCTCAGAGTTCATCCAGCCTCATGCCTCCAGAAAGGTTCAATTCCATTGAGAATTTGAAATTCGGTTCTGCATTCATTCCCTTTTTATTGGAATGCTTTTATAGACTTTTGGGGTTTTTTTAAGGTTCACTAAAAGCAGCCAGGCACCATCCAGTTCTTCTGATCACATGGCAAAGGAGGTAATTTTAGTAAGTGTTTCAAGTCCTCTTTGCTTCCAGAAAGCAAGGTCATATCATCTGCATATTACAGGTTGTTAATGAGTCTTCCTCCAATACTGATGTCATGATCCTCTTCATATAATCCAGTTTCTCAGGTTGTTTGTTCAGCATATAGATTGAATAAATCTGATGAAAAGACACAACACTGCCGTACTCTTTTCCTGATTTTAAAACATTTATCCCTTTATTCTGTTTGAATTGGTCTATCTATGTACAGGTTACTCAAAAGCACAATTGAGTGCTCCATTATTTCATTATTCACAGTGTTATCTATAGTTTGGTATGGTTCACACAGTCAAATACCTTCACATAGTCAATAAACCACAAGTAAGTATCTTCCTGGTATTCTCGGCTTTCAACCAAGATCCATCCGATGTCAGCAATGATATTTTTTGCTTAAAGTCCTCTTCTGAATTTGGCTTGGATTTCAGGTAGCTCCCTGTGGTTGTACTACTACAACTGTTTTTTAATTATCTTCAGCAAAATTTTACTTGTGTGTGATATTAATAATATTTTTAGATGTTTTCCTTATTCCATTGGGTCACCTTTCTTTGGAATGGGCACAACTATGGATCTCTTTGAATCAGTTGGTCTTCCAAATTTCTTAGCATGAATGAGTGAGGACCTTCAACATCGCATCAGTTTGTTGAAACATTTCAATTTGTATTCTGTCAATTCCTGGAGTTTTGTTTATTGCCAGTGCAAGTTGGACGTTTTAAAATGGTTGAGCACTGATCAACTCTCTTTGGTATAGTGAATCTGTGTATTCTTTCCATCTTTTTTGATGCCTCCCGAATAATTGAATATTTTGCGCATGCTGGTGGTTATGTGCTGAGGAGTCAATTCCAATTCATCACGACCTTGTATATGGTTTCAGAGGCCTTAAATCTTCATGGGAGCAGAAAGCCTCAGCTCTCTCCTGTGAAGCAGTTCATCGTTTGAACAACCCACTATGCTACCGGAACTCCTATTTTGAGGAAAAAACTCAAGTCTCAGCTTGCAGTACTGAAGGATTCTATTTTGCCCATCGAATCCTTCAATGTTGCAACCTGAGGCTTGAGTTTATTTCATTTCTTTCAGCCCAAGGAATGCTGAGCGTGTCCTTCTCTTTTGGTTTTCTAACTGCAGGTCTTTGCTCATTTCATTAAAATACTTTATTTTATGTTTTCTAGCTATCCCTTGAAATTTTCAGCTCTATTCTCATAGTTCAGGAAGTAAAAGTCCAAATTCAGAGCACCAGCTCAAGAAGAATGTTTATATTGTTGAAAAATGGTATTTGTGATGAATGGGTCATTGGTCTTGCAAAATTCTATAATGATTTCCAACATAATTTCTAGGACTTCTGGTGTGATGCTGTATGATTAGCACTGAACTGTGAACCACAAGGTTGGCAGTTCAAAGCCACCAGCTGCTCCTAGGAAATTCTGTACAGGATAACTATGAGTTTGAATCAACTTGGCATCACTTAACAACAACAACATCATTTGCTGTCAGATTTTCCAACTGCTATTCCTTCCTTTTTGTTTCCTACTTTGCATCCCAATCACCAGTAATTAAGAATGTATCTTGATTATATTTTGATAAATTTCAGACTGAAAATGTTGGTAGAATTCTTCTGTTTCAGCATCATTGACTTTAGTGGTTGATGCATAATTTGAATAATAGTGGTATTAACTGGTCTTCCTTGGAGATGTATGGATATTATCCTATTACCAACAGCATTGTACTTCAAGACAGACTTTGAAATGTTCTTTTTGTCAATGAATGTGACACCATTTCTCTTCGATTTGTCATGTCCAGCATAGTAAAGCATATGACTGTCCTATTTTAAAGGTCAATACCAGTCCATTTCAGCACATTAATGCCTGGGATATCAATTTTTATGTGTTCCATTTCATTTCTTATGAATTCTAACTTTCCTAGATTCATATTTCATACATTCCCAGCTATGATTATTAATGGATGTTTGCAACTGTTTCTTCCCATTTTGAGTTGTGCAGCATCAGCAAATGAAGGTCCTAAAAGCTTTTCGCCACCCATATCATTAGAGTCAATTTCACTTTGAGTAGGCAGCTCTTCCCATGTCATATTTTGAGTGCCTTCCAACCTGAGCAGCTCATCTTCCAGCAGTACATCAGACAAATATGACCCATTGTAATGGAAGAGTTTATGCTCTCGTATCAAGTTAAGTCATAGGCATAAGGATCACACTTCCATATTGACCATGCTGACCTGGGTTCATTCATTCCAGATAGTTAAGTGACTGCTCCTACAATTAACAACAGTGTATATCACACACACACACACACACACACAAATTCATAACTGCTTCTTATTCATATTATCTTTGCTTTGTTTTCTGTGCAATCATTACCACCAACCATTTCCAAAACTTTTTATCATCCCAAATAGAAACGTTGTACACTTTAAGCAATAATTCCTTATTCCTCACTCTTCTTACTTCCTGGTAACTACCAGTTTACTTTCTGTTTGTATGCCTTTGCCTATTCTAAATATTTCATCAAAATAGGGTTATGCAATATTCATCTTTTTGTGTCTGACTTAATATGTTTTCAAGGGTCATCTTTGTTGTAGCATGTATCAGAACTTTATTTCTCTTTATGGCTAAATACTATTCCATTTTCTTTATTCATTCATAGGATGGTGCACAGCATTTTTTTTTTTTTCCCCACAGAATGCATTTCCCGGTCTGTGGGTTCTCTACAGCATATTATTTTTAAGCCTACGAACTAATGCTTTACAGTGTTAACACTAAATGAGATTCCTCTTTGTGAATTAAAGCTCACCAAATAAAAGTATTTTTGCTGGGGAGAAAAAGCTGAAATTTTCAGACTGTTTTGCTGAAATCTTTGTGTTCCTCTTGGAAGGTACAATAGGAATATGAGCCAGAGGGAATGATGTTCTTGACAAGCAATAAGACCACTGGAAGAAAAAGATAAGTTTAAAGAGACTGAGGAGAGAGCAGATCCCATTGTTGGTTCATAGATGAAAAATTATTTGCATATGTTATATTGCCCCTTGAGATGCTCTGCTCTCAAATAATTTAAAAGGTTGGTATCACACTATCAGTCCTTAGTTCACCAAGGGACATTATGTAGGACTTACTGCAGTGGAGTAAGACTTCAGGAACCAGAAGGTCCCTTGTGCCCTATTTACTGTATTTCTTTCATTTTGCCCTAAACAGTACCCTCATTGCCTAAGAGAGTTTATAGGGCTCTGCTAAAGTATGCTTTCTGTCAGAGACACTGAGCTCTGGTGAACAGGCTCTTGCTTCTGTCCTTGACTGATGGTGGCCATTCTGAGTGATGGTGACAAGAACTAAGGCAGTCTCTCTCTCTTTCCCTAGCTACAGAGAGCTATCTTGTATTAATAAGATGTGGTCTTTCTACACCTAGAGTTCTTCTGCTTATTTTCAGGATCAACATTTTAGGAATGGCTCCCCTAACCACACCTTTTGACAATGAATTCTTCAACGGCCACTGTTACCGAGTTAGAGACGGGAACACCTTGACATACTACCGGAGACCCTGGAACGTGGCTGTTTTGACTTATGAAGTAAGGCTTCTCGAAAGATAAGCACAGTATGAGGTTTTTAGCTGAAGTTAGCTCAGTATATGTACTGATTTATAATGGCAAACATTCAGCGCACTACCAATTGAATGTGAAGATAAGCCTAACTTTGATATCTTTAGAAAATATACAGGGGTCCACAATCTTCAGTATATTAACCTACCAGTGGTGTGGCTATGAGCCCGTACTGACTCGATGGCACCTAACAACAACAATAACAACAATGGTGTGACACTGTGACATAAAGCATTTGACGGCAAGGTCTGTTTGAACCACATGGTAAGCGGTTCAAACTCACTAGCCGTTCCTATACAGGGTCACAATGAGTCAGAACTGACTCAATGGCACTTAACAACAACAGTGTGATTTTGGAAAATCCATAGACTTAGTAAAACAAATTATCTAAAATTCTGACATAAGAAAAAATAAAATGTGTGATTACACTGCTTCCATGCTATTTAACTGTGTTTTCTACTAGCTGCCCAATGAAAACTCAAATTTACATTCATTATTGTTGTTAAGTGCCTTCTATTCAGTTCTGACCCAGAGCGACCCTGTATAGGGTTTCAAAGGAGGAGCTGGTGAGCCTGTTTTACTCATTTAAGTGGCTGTTTTCACTCACCTCAAACCCCTCAAGTTCTTTGAAAATTCTTCCTAAAATATCATTTTTACATTGTTGTTGTTATGTGCCATGGAGTCAGTTTCGACTCATAGCAACCCTATACAGGGTTTCCAAGGCTGTAAATCTTTACGGGAGCAGAAAGCTCATCTTTCTCCTGTGGAACACCTGGTAGTTTCGAACTGCTGACCTTGCAGTTCGCAGCGTGATTCGTAACCACTATGCTACCAGAGCTCCTTCATTTTTTACATTACACATTACCATTTGAAACGTGCCATCTTCCTTAAAGTCTCCTAAACTTCTAGAACTATCTAAAGACTGGCTCCCCATTTAAAGGATCATTATCACTTTTAGAGAGGCCTTCTTTGGACCAAGCAAGATGTAATAAAGATTAATAATTAGCTAAGTATCAGCAAGGAGCTACAACAGTCTCTTTGATGAAGTGACCCCATTGGTGAATAAGATGTATAACACCCACTTTTTTCAGTAGTTACAAAATTTTTATTGTTGTAAATTCCACCAATATTTTATGTTCTTTTTGTTTGTAGCAATATTATAAATTAGTCCCCATAATATGAAGTCTGAAATAATTGCACTCTCCCATAAGGGTTTCAATCCTTTAAGCTAAGGATTCAATGCCTAAGCTATATGGAATTTTTTGCATGTGACCACGTTGTCATATTTCTTTTACCTGTAAATTCAGAAAGGACTGATTTTCTCACAAATCTCAAGAAGCATTTTTGGTTGTTTCTATTTTCCTGTTCCTAACACCTAACTCGGAGTCCTGGTGTGGCGCTGTGGGTTAATGTGCCAGAATGAAAAGCTGTTTGAACTGCAAGGTCGGTGGTTCAAGCTCACCAGTCGCTCTTGGAAAACCCTGTATAGCATCGCTATGGGTCGGATCCGACTCTATGGCACTTAACAACAACAACAACAACAACAACAACACCCAACTCAATCTACATGTCAGTTAGGTGCTCAATACATTTTTGTTGGATAAATTATTTGAATTTTGTTCTAGTTAATTATTGGCAATAATTTGAGTTTTATTTTTTGAAATTTCACTCCCAACTCTTGTGATTGGATACCTTGCAAAGGATTGCTTAATGTTTCTTGTTTGCTTGTATTTTATTTGTGTGTGTATTGTCTTTAACAACATTTTCTTGCTCTGTTTAGGTCAAAGCTGATAAAAATTTCAGAACGGAGCATTTTGAAGAACAGTACCAAGCATTCACAACTGTCATCCAACAGAAGACATCAACTTTCAATGCAGATTTCTCTCTCAAATTCATGCCAACTGAGATCATTGGCAAGACTAAAAACAAACCTGACAAACATGCTAATGGAAAAAATACTCAAAATCATAATAATGGAAGGATTGCCTCTCAGTTTAACTATTCCAAAAATGAATCTTACCAACGGTTCTTGTCATATTCTTCACTAAAGGTTAAGACCAAATGCTTGACATAAAGAATATAATGGCATATGTTTCAAGTTAACCAAATCCCTTCCTTCAAGTGTAAAGGTAGAGAAGAGGTAGAACTCAGATGAGAGAAAAGAACACTCAGCATATCCTGAACTCTATGGTTAAAATGGCAGAAAGAAGAATGCTAACTGGAGAAAAAAATCCAATGGGAAGTTTGGTAGCGGTTTAAGGGGGTCAAATGTTTGTTAGTGGTGAGTGGAGACCGAGTGCATAAAGAATTCAGTGCATACTTTTTTTAACTGAGGTTATTGTACCAGGTGACTTAACAGCATCTAACAACAACAACAACAACATGGTAACAGACTTTTCAAAGTATAGTGTCATCTGAGCTACAATGAATTCTGTAATTTCTTGCAATGCCTTAAAATGACATTATTACTTACTATAAAGTGTGTCTCTAAAGTAATAATGCTATGAAATTTTTACGTTGCCCATGAAATTGGCCTGCTTAATTTGCCGTAGTATCTTTAATTTGAGACTTTGAAAATTTGTTTGATTTTTAAGAGTTAAGCAAGGTTTAGAAATCTGTTTTACCATTTTTGGAAAAAAAAAATTTAATTACGTTTCTGTCATCAGTATTATGATGGTTAAACACTTATTATTACCTTTCTGATTCAAAGCCAGCTGACCTTCCCTAGCCCTGGTAATATAAAGGATCTCCTGTAGCATAGTGGTTTACAAGTTGGACTACTAATCACAAGGTCAGCAGTTCGAATCTACCAACTGCTCATATAAAGATTTACAACCTCAGAAGCCCTATATAGGGTCACTATGAGTCAGGACTGACTCACTGCCATCACCACCACCATATAAAAATGATCCCCCACTGGTCTGTGAGTTTGCTGTACAGTAGTCGTTTGCGTGTTGATGTGATTCTGGATGCTATGCCATCACTGTTTTAAATATCAACAGGGTCACTCACCCACAGTGGACAGATTTCAGTGGAATTTCCAGTCTAAGACTAACCTGGAAAGAAAACAGACTATTTCTGATTGTTTGGACCCTGAAAATCTTGTGAATAGAAAGGGAACATTGTCAGCAACAATGCCAGAAGATGAGATCCTGAAGTTGGAAGGCACACAAACTACAACTAGGAAAGAGCTGCTTCCTAAAAGTAGAGTTGTCCAGAATGATGTAAATGGAGTGAAGCTTTCAGGACCTTCAGTTGATGATGAGGCACAACTCATAAAGAGGAGAAGCAGCTCAAACATACATTAATATTCATAACATGGAATGTACAAAGTATGAACCTAGGAAAAATGCAAATTGTCAAAAATGAAATGGAATGCATAAACTTCAATACCCTAGGCATTAGTGAGTTACAATGGACTAGTATTGGCTATTTTGAATCAGACAATCATATGGGTTACTATGCCAGGAATGACACATTGAAGAGGAATTGTGCCATATTCTTCCTCAAAAAGAACATTTCAAAATCTATCCTGAAGTACAACACTATCTGTGATAGGAAAATATCCATACACATATAAGAAAGACCAGTTAATACCACTATTATTCAAATTTATGCACCAACCAATAAAGCCAATGATGATAAAACTGAAGAATTCTACTAACTTCTCCAGTCAG